TAAATATGAATGAATAATATTTTATTATTTGTACACAAGCTAACCGCATGATATGAACGATCATTTTTGTAGAATACCTACCTACATACATTGAAATAATTTAGTCTATTACTTTTCCATATTGTCACTGATTTATGTATTTTGGTAAAATAAAAAGTGATATTTTGATTGTAATTCTGCAATTTTAAAACCTCCTTTTATGAATGTGATTCATTATAGAATACTTGATGATGTAATTTTAGATGAAAAATGATGGCAAGTAAATTGATTAACATTTACTGTAAATGAATTTATTTTTCATAATTAATCAATATTTCATATAATCATTCAACTGTTCTTCTCTTTGTTCAAGATTTTGGGTTAATGATGATGATGAGGATGATGATGATGATTAGGGTGAAAAAAAATTACAAAGTTATTTTGGACAACATTAAGGTGTTTCTTTTCATTAATCACATACAACCAGTCTGATTAACCTAAATTTTGGAAAGAAAAGTAAAATGGCAATGCTGTAGGCAAATATATATAAATGTGATTAGACTATCCATTTGTCAGAATTCATTTATCAAAGAATTAAAAAGATTGATTTCTGATAAGCATGAATAATAATATACGTCAATTTTACGTTATTATGAATGAAATTATATACAGAAATTGTTTTTTTACGCAGTAAATTTTATCATTATACGGAATTTATTTGCAAAGTGATTCAAATCCCTTCTGATTGGTAATTTTATCAAATTTGTAGTTTGAAGATGGCAGTTGCATTGCAAATAATTTGATGTTGGTTAATTTGCAATCACTTCAGTCACCGAATTGTATCAACGATAAAACTATATCTTACGGAGCTTCTATTCAAATAAATATATATGGCAGATATTAGTGTTGTAGATAAATCAAACAAGAAACTATCAAATGACTTACTCTCTTTCCTGTAAACAGAACATAGAAGATCGAAACTTTGTTTACTTAAGATTAAACTAAAATTACATGGAAGTAACTTCTAAGTATAATAGATATAGAGGATTCATATTCTCCATGTCTTTGTCCCTTTTCGTCAAAAATCGCATCATCCCATCTTTAATCTATCTGCGTTCTTAAATATATGTTACAAACTTTGAAAACTTCTCAATTTTTCTCATGTGGTCCTTATGCAATGTTCTCACTTTCTTATTTATTTTGTTAAGCTCGAAAGATATCTTGTTATCACATAATGCAGTTAGTTTATTCGTCGGATTTTGTGTCAAGCAAGAGTAACAAACAATGTTTAGTTGAGGTAAATTCATTCCATTTCGTGCACTCCAAATCTTCCTTTATACCTACTGATTTGTATTGGTAAACAAACTGTTTTACAAATGTGATTTTGCATGTAGCATATATGAAATCATTTAGTTGTATAACCACAGAAAATAATTATATTTACTTTCCATATTCAATTTATAGACAAATGGATTAAGCGGCAGAAATACCATGACGTAATTGATTATAAGAAATGTTTATGATAGACAAAATGATAAAAGTAATATTGATAACCAAAAACACAAAGTTATCCTATTAACAGTCAAGTTATTATTATGGAAAGTAATTAAACTAATTCTTTCATTAGTGAAGTAAGTAAATTTCTACATTTATCGATTTATACAAATTAATCGGTATGTTGATGTAAGAAGTTTATGAAACTGAATGAATACACTACATTCTACAATGTCTTTGTACTTGCTGTAGAAAATCTTATTATTGATTCTATCACTATTACTACGACTATTAAATTCGTCACTAGGTACGCTTGAAGCTATTACGAGTTCACCTTAGTCGACAAACGTGAACGAGACAATGAACCAGCGTCCAGGTAGGTAGCCTTGATCCCAAAACTGCAAACGAGAAGTCTTGATAAGCGTAGAAAGTATATTCTACAAACACCCAACAAACATACAACTCTCGTTTATTTATACATCATAGTAACGTCCTTGGGACAGTTACGAAAATAGCACACTAAAATACACAGCAGCCAATCATAGCCATGGACTTTACTGGTGGGAAACGAAATTTCAAGGTCAACCGATCAGCTCATGCTGGCAAACGTGATACCCAAAATAAGGCATTTATCAAGCGAGTTTTGGGGATCTAACGCCCCCAACAACAACACATCCCTCTTTTTTTATATCATTTCCATATTTTCATTCATAGATTAAAAATCATTACCATAAGGTCCTACTTCCAATTAGACTAGTTGGGGAAGCTTACTAGCTTTTCTTCAACAAAAAAAAATCTCTTAATATGCAGCCGAATTACCAAGGCCAAAAAACTGTTGCTGCTTTCAGTCATGCTTCCTGTCATGTATTTATGTATTCTAGACTTCTGAAAATCACGTTGAGAAGCTATCGTCTATGGATTTAAGCTAATTACCAACGTTTGACTTGATTTCTTTGACTAACTTGAGCATTGGACAGTCTGTTAATAGTACAAATGTTTGTGAAGTCAAGATGAGTAGAAAATAAATAAGACCAATTTAAAGCTTACAAAACATGCATAAGGGGACGTTCTTTCAAATAATCAAAATTTAAAAGGGTATGATTATGTTAATATTGTATCGTTCCGACTGCGGTTATTTTTATCGTATCAGACCAATTTGTGCTTGTTTGTATGTGTAAAAAAATATGATATTTCTAATGTGGATAAGTTATGTTGGGAATATTCCACTTTGTGCTTTTTGTACTTCTTAAACTTGTATTAATTTAATATGTTTAATAATTTTATTTATTGAAGAATTGCCTTACATGAAGTCACAAAATGTCTGAAATTTAGATTAGTACTCAACGAGACTTTACAAATGTATTATTTTTTTATTAGTAAAATGTCTTCTGTGTGAAAATGCATTTTCTAAATTCTTATGATTCATTTGTTTTATAAGTCTGCCATCCCCAACTAATTATCCAACTGAATCTTCTTTAATAAAGTTCTTTTAAATGAACGGCTTTTTCAAGAAGAAGTGCATGTAATGTCTTCCTTAGAGAAATCGTCTACGTCCTCACTTTTTTCTAGGATATTCAGTGAAGTTTGAAATGTATACTAGATTACAGTAATTTATATTCATTGTTTATAAAATGTTAAACATAATAACGCCATCACAGTTAATTGTGTGAAGCATTCCAAGAAAACCTTTCTTAGTGAAACAGTTAAATTTATGAAATCGTTCAGAAACACCATTTTGTAAAAATATTCTCGGTTTGTTTCTATTGATATCAGATACATGTAAAATACGTAGTAATGATATTATTTTTAGAAATAATCACAGAAATTTTCTGTGAGTTCTTATTTTATCTTTAAATGGAGTTTTTAACGAACTTATCAATATTTATACTTCGCACTGTGGAATGATACTATTGATTTCAAAATGGAAAACCGATAACACTCACGTAAACTAATATTTTAATAACAATTTTTCGGATTGTTTATATCTAAATGACGTTATCAGTTTGTCTGTACAACTAATCTGATCACTGAAGTTGCATCGTAGAATTAGTTTTTTCAGATCATGATTTGTAATACCAATATCGGGGTTATTGTTTTGGATAATATTAACATACAGTCCATATGATCTCCGTTAAAGCGATATTAATGAAAAGTGAATCTATCCCCAATGATAACATTTTGATTGTGGTAACATTGCCATCAATGATTGACAGGATCTTTCTATGCAGAAAGAGGAATTTAATTCAATTCTTACTATCAGTGGCTAAACAATTTGTTCACAAAACATGATAGACCGGGAACTATCAAATTTCCGACAGATAATTCCTAAAATACTGTTATTTATCCGTTCACACAAAACCTTTGAGGAAAACATTTTAGGTTGCTAAAATTCGTATTGTTTTTTCCATACATCCTATCATTCTTGCATGTATCAAGGAAAAACTCTCATACTGGGTTACATCAATTTGTATTTAAAAGTCCACTGGCTCTTATGGAGCAGGTTACATACTCCACATAAAGCAGGCGCTTTTCAAACTCATCCCTAACGATTATCTTGTATGTCTCGAGCGGTAAATATAAATATATCGACAGTTAAAAATTACAACATTTTGTGAACTCTGGCCACACGACCTCATCTGACAATTTCTTGAAAATCGTCTATCCTGTCAGACGATTTGTTTCCAAAGGAGATCAAACGAATAACTTCTACAATGCAGAAGAGGCAG